TCGTATGATAATCTGTCCGTTTAAAGTGTGCAATTATCGAAAAATTACAGCGGTAATTGCACAGTGTGCAATTATCACTCAACGATAATTGCATTGTTTACAAAAAATATTTGACAGGTGTCTTTTCATGTTGAATTAGACATAAAATGTCTTCCTGACATACCTAAGATATTCAAATTATATTTAAAACCCACAAGTAATAAAATTAAAAGTGTAATAAAATATAATAGAAATAAAATTAATCCACATTAACGTTGTTTACTCAGGAAATATTCATAAAAATTACACTCGTGCATCAAAATAAACAGATAATTTTGCATTCGAGCTTGTTGTCATGTAAAAACTGCTTTCGTTTATTTTCACATTGAAACGAAAAAGCCGTCGTCCTTCGGAGTCGGGCTTTTTCGCCACAATATGAAAATAAACTCATGCAGTTTTTAGGCAACAAGCTTTCATGCAAAATTATCGATAATTTTGAAGCACTTGTGCAATTACCCCCGAATATATCCTGAGAAAACAAAGTAAATGTGGATTCAGTTTATTTCTATTATATTTTATTCCCCTTTAAATTTTATTACTTACTATGTTTATTAAATTTAATTTGAATATCTTAGGTATGTCAGGAAGACATTTGATGTCTAATTCAACATGAAAAGACACCTGTAAAATAGTTTTTATAAACAATGCAATTATCGTTGAGTGATAATTGCACACAGTGCAATTACTGCTGTAATTTTTCGATAATTACACACTTCAAACGGGCAGATTATCATACGAAGGAAATATTCTATAAAACTCAATGTTGAATTGTACTCACTGCACAGAAAATAGCTGTGAACCAACTGATCGATGAATGTCCACTAGGAAACGATCTGGAAGCATCAACCCAATCCAGCATTGCAACATTTTTATTAGTACAGGTGTAGTCGAAGATGTACGTTCCATTGGTGCAATTGAGATTCGTATCCGGCCTGCAAGTGTCGAAAAAATGGGGCCTGTGCTCCCCTACTATGGTTTTTGCTGAAAAAATCGAAACTTAGGTTGATAAGGCCATTTATCATGCAGACGGGAAACAAAATAGCCTTATTAATAGCTGAGAGTCCAAATTTAGAGCAGCTGCCGTTACAGTGGAAGTCCTAGATTAGTATATTTTGCTGCTGGTTGTTGGGAAATACATTGAGTATATACTAAGCAGGGAGATGGGATTAATCGTCGGGAGAAATTACGAGTTGCATTATCATTTAGCGTCTGCAATATCGTGCACAAATGCCAGCACTTTAGACTAACTTAATGCGATAATACATTATCTAAGTTCGTTCTAGGAGTGTGGATCAGTTATGCATAATGTCTTGGCTCATGTTGCAGCTATATGCTCTATAAAACGTTGTTTAATTTAGTCCCCGTTTTCCAGCTAAATGGAAAAATAGTTTATACATTTTAAGACCCACGTTATTGAGCAATTAAACCCAGTCAAGGTTGTCGCTCTATTCCTAATTTTACAAAGTCGTCATTGACCACTAATGGCAATCGATTAGCAGTAATAATTATTTTTGCAAAAGTAACTCATAGGCAATGTGTTAAATTATGAACTTTGCTCTTAGGACTTATTTCTGCGTCAAAGTTGGCAAAGTAAAATATTTTCTGATAAAACCTAATTATCGTTTTAAAATGCTCTATCTAAGAGGTCGTTACGACTGAGTAGATATTTTTAACTGGTTCTGAGATAAGTTTGAGCATCACTTTTTATCCCAAATCCTAATCAAACCATCGATTTGTTTGCTAAACTATAAACGTTGCAAACAGTCTAATCGATTTCTGTTAAAACTAACAACTATTTAACTTTGAAGTTTTTCTTGAGGGACCAAACTTCGCACTCAATGCAATAATATTTTAAATCTGTTTTATTGAAATGGTCAATGAGGCCTAATGATCAGTAGTTTGAGTTTGAAAAAATTATACTTCAGATCAGAAATGTTCAATGGTCTAAATCAATATGATATATTTAGTCAAAAAATGGTTCAGCTGCTAAATCTAGATATCGACTGAGAAAGTACCAAATTTGACTTTCGGGTTCAAAAGCTAAAGTCTATCTTTACTTAATTGCAAACGTTTGGAATTAGCTTAGAAAGGCATTTTTTAAAAGATCGCATTTAACATGAATTTCAAGAAAAGAAACATTTCAGCAAAAATTGCGAGTTCAGGAACCACATTATATTTTTGCCGTGTGCAATATACTTTTTAATAAACACACGAATTTTAGCTGAAGTTACTTCGACTATATTAAGATGAGGAACACTTTTAGACGCATCAAACACAAGTAGAAAATCCCTATTAACAATATTTGGTCTATACACTGTCACAATAATTCACTATAGTATTATGTGGGAATTGTTTTACATTCTGAGGTAAAAATACCGCAAACCTGCCGCATAAAGTGACTAGATCAATAGCATCACATTGTCAAGCCAAAGTGATTCCAAGAAAATTTGTTGAGATCGGTTTAAAAAAATTCAGCTAATCCGACTTAGCTATTTGTTATTAGGTAGTTTTATAATAATCGCAAAGGCGTATTTTATTAATTTATTTTTATATTATCCCAAGGCACAAATTAGGACTGTCTAATTTTTCGAACTCTGTAAAAGTGATTAACTGAGACTTAAAAAAAATTATGTTTTGTATAATTATATCTACATTGTTGGCGCTTTGCTCATTCGACAAGATGAATCAAGTCCGACACAAGAAAAAATAAAAATATTTTTTTCACCTAAGGTTTTAATTTAATTTTGCGCATTTTTGCTTGACTATTTTTCAACAGCTCATTCAAACGGGGTTTACTGACTTTCGACCTTACGTAACTGCTTTTTAGTGATCTCATCATAATCAATTTTTCAAGAACTTTTTTGTGGTTTTGTTGCTGACAGAAAAACAATGCTGAAACCTAATGAACAAAATGTTTTACGTGTATGTAAGACTAGTAGTGAAGTTAACCATTCAATTAAGCAGTGAGATTAAATGATGAGATGGTTGATAAAAACCATCAATTTAATGTGTTGAATGGGATGAATAAGAAGAGTTACTCAAGTGATTTGCTTACCTAATTCTGTGACTCCTGCAACAATTACAAGCCCAATCATATAATGCTTGAAATATACATAGAATTCAAAAATGTGCTCTATGCTGAATACAGCCTCGAAATTGCTTTGCCTAATCCATTCTACTGTAAGATACAAGCCTGGTAGCATAATGCCCAGTGCCACACCTAACATCCAGGGCATTACTGTATCCCCCCGGTATTTGTGGGAAAATAAAGGATCATTGCAGAAGAATCCCAGTTTCGTTCCCTGTATGATACCATAGTTCCAAAGAAGAAATACGAGTAAAGCTGAAAATTTCTAATGATTTTTATAAGATACAAATTGAAATCTTTCTGAAAAATATTAATCGGTTTT